CTAGCAGAAATAAAGGCTAAACAATAACTAATGAGTTTATTCACAAAGTTGTTTAAGTGCTTCTATATTAAAGTTTGTGATAAAGACAAATTTGCTTGCCAAGAGTATAGTAAAAGGGCAAGAATTTGATTAGCTTCTTTCTTCCAAATATTTAGGCCATCTTACGCATATGTAAGTTAACTGCCAATTCTTGTCTTTGACGATAAGCCAACATACAGGAAAAGTTGGACAGGATTACGCACACGTAGCTCACGGCCTTTGAGTACCTGTAGCTCTAGGACCTCTGTGAAGGAGACCTTTTAAAACAAAAATAAATAAACCAATAAATACTGTCTTACTGTAGCTATCAGAAATTGGGTGAATTCCCATCATAACAGAACTATAAACAAGTCTTCTCTATTGTACAGGAATGCTAATAGGTCAAAGCATAGAAATTACAATGAAACACTTGAAATGAAATGTAAAGGTTTGAGTGCAATTATAGACTTTAATGAAACATTAACAGTAATTATGTTTTGTGATATGTAGGCTTAAAATGATCTCCAAGTTCTTTAGGTAACATTGATATTAAGTTGAACTCGTATTCAAGTTTCTATGCTTTTGCTTACATATCACAAAGACTGACAGAATTAAAACATAATAATCTTTGTAAGGATAAATTCACATTCATATATATGAATGTGTATATATATATATATATATATATATACACACATTGTATATGAGTGTACACACACACACACAACTTGTGAGATACGTCGGTCTGCTGGTGAATATGTCCATTATTGCCATTTAAAGGTTTACACAGAGATATACAACAAAAATTGAAATTGAAAAGGTTTATTAAAAAGAGAACATGATAATAAAACTTTTTATCTGTCTTGCTAAAGGTTTAATGATAGATCTATAAAAATGTTTAAAAGCTTTTATGTCAAATAGCAAAAAATTGGATATATCACTGTTATATCCTATATGTTAAGATAGACTTTTTTAAAAATTGCTTTGGACAATCCTCATTAAAGGGAGCAAGTGTTTGGTCTCTCTTTAGAATAAATTCCTGAGTTGGAAACTAAGCGTCATGGGTTTGGGGGTGAGGAGGGAAGCTAAGGTTTTTACCTTTGAAATCTAAGGTTAAATAACATAAGTATTCTTTCTCTGTGACCTATGATAAACTCCTAACAACTGTGAAATTTTGTGGATAGCCATTAAAGATTTGTTTCTGCTTCATTAAGAAAACAGTGTTAAAAGGGGTTATGTCATGTGTTATGAGTTACAAAAAATATGTTGTCCAATCAAAAAGTTTTTATTTCCTTTGTGTTAAAAATTTATGTGCATTTCCTCTTGTAATTTCACCTGATATTATCATACAATGACAATTATTATGTTACTGCTATTTTTAGTGGCCACTTCAAACTGGCAGTACTTTCAGGTAAGCATTGAACGGCTAAATGAAAGGTCAGCAGTTCACACCCACCAGCTGCTCCCCCAGAGCTCGCTGGGGTTATATGGTAAGGGTTACTAGAAGCAACTCAATGGCAGTGGTTTTGTTAAAATTTGGTAGCCGACCATTCCTCTGTCAGTTTGCTGTACTGTGGTAGCTTGCTTGTTGTTAGGATGCTAGAAAGTATTCCACTAGTATTTTTAATACCAGACTGTCACCCAAGCTTGACAGGTTTCTGCAGAACTGACAGACTAAAAATAGGCTGGTAAGAAGAAATAGGTGATCCACTTCCGAGAGGTTAGGCACTGAAAACATTATGACTAGCAGCAGAGCATTGCCTATTACAGTACAGGAAGTGGAGCGCTCAGCTTTGAAGGCTCTCAAATGATGCCTGGGGAAGAGGAGAGCTGCTTCCTCAAAATGCTGAGTGGCGCAAAGCCTACTGGACCTTCATTTGCTGCTGAGGCCAAACTCAAACTGCGAAGAAAGCACTGCACACATCCATTAGTAACCAGAATGCTGGAAACGGTTCTGCGATGAATTTGTTGGTCTTGGAAAGTTCTGTCATGCGATCTCCAGCTTTGTCACCACGGCCATATTTCCAAATGGAGGTCCTTTCACTACTTTTCAGCTTTCGCACCACGAACGCTGCATCATGAATACATGATATTTTCACAACGAAGCTATTTGTAGAACTTTTCAATTTTTATCATCAGCTGCCTTAGTGGTTGGTGCATACATTTAAATAATACTTGTTTTAGCTGGACTTTCTTGTATGTATATAGATCTTATCCTATCATGGACGACATTGTTTTTCAACTACATAAATGGTGACTGTGGTAGTCAGATTTTATGTCCACTAGACAGTCCTGCCTGGCTAAGGGTGAAGTCACGTCTGTCAATCAAGCTTTTACTTAATGGTACCTCCTTGGGGATGTGGGCTTTTGTACGAGAGTGAGCGACTTGGGAACTGCTTCACTCTCTGCCCTTGGAATTCTGCCGGCCTCGACCCTGACCCTGAGAGCTGTGGGCGCCCTGCCATGTCTCCACCAGCCTTGGCTCTGTGCACCTCTGTAGCACCTGGCTGTGATCTTCCTGCTTCACTTTTCAGCATCATCAGTCTGCAGCTATGTGAGTCTGAAGATGATCCTGGTTTGAATCGGACTTGTGGAATTGAGCAGCACTGGGCTGGGCTGCCTTCTTTTGATATAAAATTACTTGTGGAGAGAGCGCTCTTTCTTAAACATCTATGAATGTCACTGGATTTGTTTCTCTATGTAGCCTGGCCTAACGCAGTGACTATACACAGGGGCATCACCAGATGGAGTGCATAGGGATCAGATTGACTACATCTGTGGGAGGAGGTAAGAGAGAAGCTCGATATCACTAGCAAAAACAAGGCCAAGGGTCAACCATTGGACAGACAATCAATTGCTCAAGTGCAGGGTGACGGTGAGGCTGAAGAAAATGAAAACAAGTCCATCAGAGCCAGCACACAGGTGTTTTTTGGGGTGTGTGTGTGAGTATGTTGCACCAGAATTTAGAGAACATCTCAAGAACAGGGTTGAGATGCTGACCACTAACCACCAAAGACCTGGAAAGCTGGGTTGATATTAAGACTATTCTAAACGAAGACCGCGAAACAAAAGACAGGAAACGGAAGCCAAAGTTGTTATCAGAAGACTCTGAAACTTACTCGTGAATGTAGAACAGCTAAAGTAAATGCAAGAAATGTTGAAGTAAAAGAACTGACCAGACGATTCTAAAAGGCAGTTGAGAAGTGAAGTATTTTGATGAAATATGAAGTTAGAAAATAAAAAGGGAAAAACACACTCAGCATTTGTCAAGCTGAAAGCAGAAGTCCAAGCTGCGCTGAAAGCATTAACAAAAAACAAAAGCACCAAGAATTGACAGAATACCAATTAAAATATCTCAATAAACTGATGCAGTGCCGGAAGCATTTACTAATCTATGGCAAGGAATTTAGTAGACATCTGCCTGGTGAACTCACTGGAGAGTTCTGTATTTGTGTCCATTCCAAAGACAAATATCCAACAGACTGCAGAAGTTATCAAACAATGACATTAATATTATATAAAAGTAAATGTTGCTAAAGATAATTCAAAGACACTTATAGCAGTACATCAACAGGGTGTTACCATAAAAATTCAAACTGGATTCAGAAGAGGGTGTAGAACAAAGGATATCATTGCTGACATCAGATGGACTTTGGCTAAAAGCAAATACCAGAAATATAGTTACTTGTATTTTATTGATGATGCAAAGACATTTGACTGTGGATAAAAACAAACTACGGATAACACTGCAAAGAATGGGAATTCCAGAACACTTCATTATGCTTATGAAGAGCCTGTGTGTAGAGCAAGAGGCAATAATTTGAATAGAAAAAGTATATTCTGATTGTTAAAAATCAGAACGGATATGCGCTGGGGTTACATCCTTTTAGTGTATTTATTCAATCTGTATGTGGAGTTTATAATCCAAGAAGATGGACTATATATTAAGAACCTGGTATGTGGATTGCAATATGCTGGCGACACACCTTGCTTGATCCAAGTGAAGAGTACTTGAAGCACTTACCGATGAAGATCAAAGACGGTAGCCTGCAGAATGGCTTATAACTCAATGTAAAGAAAAAAATATCCCCACAACTGGGCAATAGACAACTACATGTTAGAGAAACAATGGAAGTTTTCAAGGATTTCATTTCCATGGCTCCATAATCGATGCTCATGGAAGCAGCAGTCAGAAAATCAAAGGATGAATTGCCTGAAAGAACATAACTCTTGGAAGTATTCAAAAGCAAAGATGTCATTTTGAGGACCAAGATGCACCTATTGTAAGACATTGTATTTTCAACTGCTTCATATGAATGTGAAAACTGGACACTGAATCAGAAAGACTGGAGAAGACCTTATGCATATGAATTATGTTGGTAGAGAATACTGAAAGTATCATAAACTAGCAGAAGAACAAGCTAATTTGTCTTAAAGTACATCCAGATCACTCCTTAGAAGTGAGAAGGCCATGACTTTGTTTCATATACTTTGTATATTTTATCAGGTAGCACAGTCTCTGTAGGAGGGCATGATGTTTGGTAAAGTGGAGAATGATTGTAATAGAATACTTTCAACAAGATGGATTGGGCAGCAATGGGTTCAACTATAACAACACTTGAGGATTGTGTTTCGTTCTGACTTGAGGGTACCTAACAACAGCAGCAATAAGTTGGTAGCAATTTCATTTCTTTTGACTGTAGCATCAATGGCAGTGGTTTTAACTAGAAGTTCACTTTATTTATGCGTGGAGGTTTTCATTCCTATTTCCACGTTTCAGAGGCACTGGGGAGCTTAGGGAAGTCTCAGTGCTTTCTATCCTGTAAAGAGAAGGCCCTCCAAACGTGGTCAACTGAGTAATGAACATCCACGTTTTCAGAGGAGTAACAAATAGTAGGAAAGTTAGACTCCATTCCTGTGGATTTCCGTGATAGTGCTCCATACCGTCTGCTACTTAAATGCTCTTCTTCTTCTCCTCAAAGATCTTCAGTTTAGACCTGGGAGGCATATCCACTGTGGTTCTAAATGGCTATGATGTGGTAAAGGAATGCCTGGTTCATCAGAGTGAAGTTTTTGCAGACCGACCCTGCCTCCCATTATTCATGAAGATGACAAAAATGGGAGGTACGTTTACTTTCACCTGTTGAAGGACTTACCAAACTATTTTAAATCACACCCTTGTTTTAAGTAAGTTGAGTAGAATTTGTATCCTGTTGCATTCATTAATGGGAAAGTATATATTTATTCATAGAACCTAGTATTTGGAAAACGTTTAGGTCTCCAATCATCTTTATACAAACTCTCACTGTCATTAAGTTGATGGCAACTCATCTTTATGCAACTCATGCTAATTCTATTATGATTCAGTTCTAATAAATTGGTAAGTACTGTTTTAGTGCATATACTTAATACCTGCAACTTTTATTCAACAAGTTGAGGATATGTGCATACATTCTTCTTTCAATCATTCATTCAAAGTAACATCTTTTTCTCTGTAGTGCGGTGTGGTACATGGCAGTAGAGGAGGATATATATACCTGGCCTGCTCTGGCTTCCCTGTTGCCACCAGGCGAGGTTCAGACATGCCACCATAGTCCATGCTTCTTTACCTATTCTGACACCAACCGTTTCTCCCACGCCACTCTGCATCTATGGTGGGTCTGATAACTCATGGCAATGGCTTCACAGAACTCACAGGCAATACTCACAATTAAGGGTGTTTATTAGGGAAGTTAATAGGTTACCACAAGTCAGGATCAGCAAACAGGACAGTCCTTGGTCCACAGCATAGCCAAGCCTCTCTCTGGTTCTCAGTCTCTTGGCCAGAGAGCCTTGGCTTTTGTGTCTGTGGGCCAAGAAGCCAGTTTGTCTATCGCTGTGCCCCAGTTCCACAGTCTTGAACCAGGAGAGAAGGTGCCTTGCAGTCTTCTCTGCGGCTCCATGTCACAAACTCTGATGCATCTGGTCTCAACAGCTTCTACGGCTTCAGACAGCTCCTGGAAATGCTGCTCCAAATGGTCCTGGGACTTTCCTGTGTCCTAGAAAGCTATTATATTGAGGAATGGCTTTGATGTGTGGGTTTTTTAGTTTTTGGGTTTTTTTTTAAAACTCACTTAATTAGGGGCTCATAAAACTCTTATCACGATCCATACATATAGCAATTGTGTAAAGCACATTTGTACATTTATTGCCCTCATCATTCTCAAAACATGTGCTTTCCACTTAAGCCCCTGGCATCATCAGCTCCTCATTTTCCCCCTCCCTCCCCACTCCCCCCTCCCTCACGGACCTTTGATAATTTATAGATTATTATTTTGTCATATCTTACACTTCCGACATCTCCCTTCACCCACTTTTGTTGTCTGTCCCCCAGAAAGGAGTTATATCTGGATCCTTGTAATCGGTTCTCCCTTTCCACCCCACCCTCCCAGAATCGCCACTCTCACCACTGGCCCTTAAGGGATCATCCATCCTGGATTCCCTGTGTTTCCAGTTCCTATCTGTACCAGTGTATATCCTCTAGTCTAGCCAGATTTGTAAGGTAGAAATGGGATCATGATAGTGGGGGGGTGGGTGGAGAGGGAAATAAGCATTTAAGAACTAGAGGAAAGCTGTATGTTTCATCATTGCTATACTGCACCCTGACTGGCTTGTCTCCTCCCTGCGACCCCTCCGTAAGGGGATGTCCAATTGCCTACAGATGGGCCTTGGGTCTCCACTCCGCACGCCTCCTCATTCATAATGTTATGACTTTTTGTTCTGATGTTGCCTGATACCTGATCCCTTCGACACCTCGTGATCACACAGGCTGATATGTTCTTCCATGTGGGCTTTGTTGCTTCTGAGCTAGATGGCTGCTTGTTTACCTTCAAGCCTTTAAGACCCCAGACGCTATATCTTTTGATATGCAGACACCATCAGTTTTCTTCACATTTGCTTATGAACCCGCTTTGTCTTCAGCGATTGTGTCGGGAAGGTAAGCATCATGAAATGCCAGTTGAATAGAAGAAAGTATTCTTGCATTGAGGGAGTACTTGAGTGGAGGCCCAATGTCCATCTGCTACCTTATTACTAAATCTATACATATATGCACATAGATCTATTTCCACATCCTCATAAATATATTTACATATTTGCATGCCTTTATTTAGACCTCTATAAATACTGTTTGCCTCCTAGCTCTTTCCTCTATTTTCTTTTACTTTTCCTCTTGTCCCACTATCATGTTCAGGCTTCCTTTGGGTTCCAGTAATTCCTCTTGGCTACATTACCCTTGATTACGCCCTACTAGGCCTCCTACACCCTCCTCACCACCGATTTGGATCACTTGTTTTTCCCTTGTCCCTGGGTTTGTTAACACCCAATTCCTTTCCTCCACCCCCTCTCCCATGCCCCGCCCCCCCCCATCTGTGGGTCCTGTTGTTTTCTCTTCCAGATTGTTCGTCCAGCCTATCTTATTTAGACAGACCTGTGGAGATAATAACATGCACAAAAAACAAGACAGAGCAAAACCAAGCAACAAAATCAAACAAAACAACAAGCTAATGACAAAAAAAAACAACAACACACACAATAGGAAATAAAAGCTTGTAGTTAGTTCAAGGACTGTTTGTTGGCCTTTAGGGGTGTTTTCTGGTCCAGTCCAATGGGGTGCCAAGCCCTGGCCCCAAAGTCTACTTTTGGTATTTCCCAGCGACTTCGTCGCTCTGTTCCCCTTGCTGTTCTGTTCCACAGATCGGGCGAAAGGAGGTATGGTATTTAGCCAACTGTACCTCCAAGAAAAATGAAGAATGGTGTCTTAAGTCACCCTCTACGAAGGTAGAATCTAAGATGCCCCAAAGGAAAAGGTTGTGACTTGGTTCACACCCTCTTCTAAAGTCAGGTCGTAACCCCACCCTAATCCTGCCATTTGCATAGCAGAGAACTCCCTCCAAAATGGGGCCATAGCCACAGGCGTAGAGTCCAGACTTACAGTATATCACATAAGGAATTATGGCTAGAAGGGCATTTTGACTACATCACAACGTAAATATAAACTCAATATTTCATTTTAAGATGGACAATAAAATCAAAATAACATCATGTTTACTCTTGTTTTGGAAATTCTATCTAATGTAATTAGACATGAAACAAAACGAATAATTAATGGGAAAGGACAAAGATCTCTTTAGCTAAAATTACTGAATATAAAGTAAGTCTAAAGGAATTTTTTTACATCATATAGAATTATCAAGTTTACTAAAATTCTTAATTAAAAAATATATAATATGTCAATAATTTATATGGTTATGCTCTAGTTGTAAAAATTATAGCGATGATGGTTGTAGTGGATTATTGCCAAGATTGTGTCATCTTATGAAACACCCCTGGAATAACCCGATTTCTGACCCATAAAAAATTTCCAGGAAAAAAACATTTTTTTCCAGGAGGTGTTGAATGCTAAGGAAACCAAGTCCTTGTCTGTGCTTTACTGTAACTGTCCTGCTCATTCGCCTTAAACTTGGAGTATGTTATTGTAGTAATCTAGTTTTTAGTCTGGGCTCTTCAAAACTTTGTGAAAGTATCTGGCAAGACTTTATCTAAAGCCTTGAGGTCCCTTTTTGGACTTTTATTGTATTTTGAATTATAAAAGAAAATAATTTTCCATCACTGAGATACTTGGACACTCTCTGATTTGACTGGATCCATGTATTTGGCATCTCGGGTGTCAGACTCTTCCATATGATTTTGTTTTGGTGGTGGCTTTTCTTTTTTGTTTTGGTTTTTTTAAATTTATTGTTATATTCTCTGTTGCTATGGTTACTGTTAAACTACTGTATTTTAAAGTTTTGGAAATAGCGTTTCCTAGCTCCCATTTAGTCATTTACTATTGTTTTAATGTCTCAATGTCTGACCTTTTCATAAGTTGTCCCGATGCTTAGGATATCGTGTTTTGTTTTGATGTAGGACACAGTGTAGGCTGTTCTGTCCATGTGTCAAGAAGATAGAGCATGAATGTATTTGTCTATGACCTACTCCCAAAGCTCACCATTGCTGTGTGTTTTTCTTCTGGTTAATGGGATTAGTCTTACACATTTTTAAACATCACAAATTTTAAATTATGGTATATAATAGACAGCTGTGCTATCACAAATTGTACTCTTGGAAGAATGAAATTACTAAACCAAAAAGTTGGTTTTGTTCTGCATTTTGAAACAGGACTTTGATTTCTGAACTAAATAGATGTTAAGGCCAATGTTTGGATCAAAAGTAGTAACAAAAATTATTGGAAAAAAATAAAGGACAAGGAAACTATGGAGGGCCTATAAATGGAGGAAAAGATTGTTGCTTTTAAAAAAACACAAAAACCTTTGAACCAGGTGAGTAGACTTATAAACGGGACCCTGCTGCAGAGTGGGCTCAACAATGGACTGCTAAATGCAAGGTCAGCAATTTGAACCCACCAGTGAGACACACACACACACACACACACACACACACACACACACACACACACACGTGTCCTGCCAGTGAAGACAGCCAGCCTTGAAAGCCCAAAGGGGAAGTTCTACCCTTCCTATTGGGTTGGTATCAGGCAGAATCCACTCCATGGCAGTGGGTTATTTTGGATAGGAAGCCAATAACATCCGGGAAAAAAAATCAATAATAAAAAACAACAAACCAAACCTTTCAAATGGTCTCCCATCTCAGAGTGAAAGGCAGTTCCAAGTCGCCAGCTGTCTGAGGGAGAAAGACGGGGCTCCTAGTCCGTCAATGTGTACAGCCACAGAAACCCACCGGGGTCACTGTGAGTCATCATTGACTTGATGGCAGTGAGTTACAGTTCAGTCCAAGACCAACTTTCTCTCTCATAAAATGTGCAATCAGGCTTACAGGATTCTGTACCGGTAGACGAACAAGTTCACCCAAATAGACTTCCACACAACCAGCTTCATGTGGAGGCCTTTCTGCCAATGCCCACGGGAGGCAGACGACCCGTGCCTACTGAGTCGGGAAGAACCACGCTCACCCACGTTCACAGAAAGAGCATTCGGAGAGCAGTAGACTAGCCATTGTTTCTTTTCAATCCGTGGCATTTTCTGCTCTTAGAAAAAGAGAAGTAAGAATAATAAAATACCTTTAATATCCCTTTTGCTTTTCCTCAGGTTTACTCAACGCCAGATACGGCCGAGGATGGGTTGATCACAGGAGATTAGCTGTAAATAGCTTTCGCTATTTCGGATATGGCCAAAAGTCTTTTGAATCTAAAATCTTAGAAGAAACCAAATTTTTTATCGATGCTGTTGAAACATATAAAGGTGGACCTTTTGACCCTAAACAATTAACAACCAAGGCTGTTTCAAACATAACCAACCTGATCATTTTTGGAGAGCGATTCACTTATGAAGATACCGATTTCCAGCACATGATTGAGTTATTCAGTGAAAATGTGGAACTGGCTGCCAGTGCCTCGGTCTTCCTGTTCAACGCCTTCCCATGGATTGGTATCTTGCCTTTTGGGAAACATCAACAGCTGTTCAGAAATGCTTCTGTGGTCTATGATTTTCTCTCTAGCCTTATTGAAAAAGCGTCGGTGAGCCGGAAGCCTCAGTCACCACAGCATTTTGTGGATGCCTACTTAGATGAGATGGACAGAGGGAAAGATGACCCTGCCTCTACTTTCTCTAGAGAGAACCTCATTTTCTCAGTGGGTGAACTCATAATTGCTGGAACCGAGACGACAACCAATGTTCTCCGATGGGCAGTTCTTTTCATGGCCCTTTACCCTAACATCCAAGGTACGGGCTTTCTGGACAGCCTCGGGGCCTGTCCTTAGCTACAGGTCTCCTGCAGGCCATGGAGTCTTAGGCCATGTACAAAGCATTTTATGTGGGCTCTCCTGCTGTGCCAGGCAAGGAGAAGAAGGCTATTTAATAATTTCAAGCAATGTTTAAAACTCTCACCTCAATGCCTGTAACACAACCTCAGAGATAGGGCTTTCCATGCCTATTTTCAAATGAGGACAAAGCTGAGTGGCTGGCTGCCTTGTTCAAGACCAGCCACTACACGTTTTAGGAAGCCAAGGGTTTGGGGAAGCGAAATGGGATACTTCGCTAGCTTCCTTCCTGAGGGTGCTGCTCTTCTGATTCTCTTTATTCATATCCATTTTCATGAGGGGTGTGAAACCAGAGTTACTCAGAACATCGGCTATTGATTGCACAAAATGTAATCATGTATTTCAAACTCCCAATTACTGGCAAATCTGAGTCTGGATCTACTACCCATTCTCTTTTGGCTTATTATGGGTTATCCTGGGTTTGATCCCTAAGGGAATTTTCTCTAGATGTAACTAAGAATCACATAATAACATGAACACTTTTTCCTGACAGGACAAGTTCAGAAAGAAATTGATTTCATTGTGGCCCCCAATGGGAAGCCTTCTTGGGATGACAAATGCAAAATGCCTTATACGGAGGCAGTTTTGCATGAAGTTTTAAGATTCTGTAACATAGTTCCATTGGGGATTTTCCACGCAACCTCGGAAGATGCAATTGTACGAGGCTACTCCATTCCCAAAGGCACAACAGTCATTACAAATCTTTATTCTGTGCACTTTGATGGCAAGTACTGGAGAGACCCAGAAGTGTTTTATCCGGAGCGGTTTCTGGACAGCAGTGGACATTTTGCCAAGAAGGACGCTTTGGTTCCTTTTTCACTGGGTAAGAGAACTCTCACAGGGCAGAACTCTGGGATAAAGTATAGTGATGCTTCATCTGTAACATCTTAATAGGAAGCGCCCTTCTATAGAATAAAATACGCTAACAGAACAGCGTGGATGCTCACAGGGATGTGTTTATCGAGACTGTTAACACTTGCGCCGATGGAAAACGAAACACGCCTGATTAATTACTTGAGCTAAGCTGACGTAAAGCTTTGCTTCCCGGAAAAGGTTCTGCTTTTCTACAAAACTTAGGGCTCAGAGTCGGTAATGGGGAGCTGGAGACACAGACACAGAAGAGCCACGCTGAGGTGAAAGTACTAGCGATTGCTCCTGCTGGCCAGTTGACCTCTGAATAGGAGAGTCAGTTTGGGAAAAAGTCAACATACCACACACCCGATACATGGAAAATGGAATGGGAATTCTTTTTCACTGAGGAAGGGAACACACAGTTGATGTGAATGACTTCTCTGGATCAATAAGCCAGATGTCACACCTCAATTTAGATCTCCGATGGCGTACCTTAGGCTCTGTGACAGCATGCAAGGACAATGGGAGATGAGACGAGTAAGTTTGCAAAAGTCCATGATTGACAGAAGGAGGTAAAGGAAAGGGCTCTGAGGTCTGATTTTTGTTTTTGGAGGGTTGAGAGAATCCTTGAATAACATTAGTACCCTCTAGTATTTCTTTAAACTCCAGATTTCTTGAATGGCACCCAAATATTAGACATTAATTGTAATCAATATTTTTGAGTTTCTGAAAGTATTATAGAAGGTTATATCAAAAGGTATTGTCACTAGGGTTTCAGTTCATAACTGCTTATTCCAAACAAAAATGTGTTTAAATATAAGAACAAAGAAGTTCTTTCAGTAATAATACCCTTGTTTGTGTCTCATTAAAACCCCAAACCCCACTGCCTTCAAGTTGACTTTGATCCATAGTGACCCTGTATAGACTTCCTGAGACTGTTAGTCTTAGTGGAAGCAAATAATCTCATCATTGTGAGATCAGTTGGTGGATTCGAACCATCAACCTTGCTGCTAGAAGCTCAATGTCTAACCCTCAGTGCCACCAGGGTTTAAGGTTTAATCAACACAGAGGAGAAATATACAGGTTTCTACTCCCATAACAGTTACAGCTCAGAAGTCCTCGGCAGCAGTTCTACCCTCTATCTTGTCACCACCAATCAGAAGCGACTTAATGGCAGTGAGTTTGTCTGTTTAATCAAAACAGTGGCTTCTGAGATCTGCTGACTCAGTTAAATTAAAGCAGAGAGGTTAGCTCAAAGGTTATGTAGACCGAGGAACACAGAGTTCAAGAGATGGCCACACAGCCTTCAGATGTGTATAAACGTAGATGGTAGGTTTGTCAAGAACTAACAGCTTCGGGATTTTATCTTTTTGTTTAATAAAGGTTTCTGTGCTTCTTGGACGTACCTTCATCTATGGTTTTATTTGTCTGTTCAGGAAGAAGACACTGTCTTGGAGAACAGCTGGCTCGGATGGAAATGTTCTTGTTTTTCACTGCATTGCTTCAGAGGTTTCACTTGCATTTTCCACACGAACAACTTCCCAATCTCAAGCCCAGGTTAGGCATGACATTGCAACCCCAGCCCTACCTCATCTGTGCGGAAAGACGCTAAAAATGCCTGGCCGCTCTGGAGAGCCAGGCTGTCTGTTTGCCTCACCTCTCAAGCTTTGAAAAGCATGCGTGTGTTCGGACAAAGATCACATGATCATAAAACCAAGTGAGCATGAAAAGAATACAAGTGCTAATGAGCTGCCGCTGAGGGGGATCTGACTGACTGCAGTCCCATGTGCTGCAGAGCAAATGCTGAGCTTGTGACTCATGAAAGCAGATCACTAGACTTTTCTTGCCAGGCCCCTCTGGGTGGGTTCTAAGGGTCACCTGTTAGTAGACGAGTTCTTGACCACTTGCGCCATCTAGGGACACCAAGTGAGCAGAGATGTGCCCTGAAGAATTGGACTAGGAACACTGGCACTTTCATACAATTAAATACTATGCACCAACAAAAAACAACGAGGACTGTTAAGCACCACAAGAAAGACAAAGCGAGAGAACTTTATGCTTAGCGAACCGTAGTCAATCTTATAAAGATTCATATTTAACGACACCATTATTATATGGAAAAGCAAAAAGAAAGGTGGTTTTCACACCAAAGGATAAGCCTTTGAAGACTGAAGCGGCCAGGAAAGGGGGCAGGGGCAGAAAGTGGAGTGGGGCTGGCATTATAGAGAGGCGCGAGGGTGGATAGGAAGTAAATACAGGTAGACACCACCACCATGTTTGTGGAGGGTGTACGGTGACTGATTTGACTTGATGAGATGGGCAGAGCAACTGCTCAGAAGGGTTTTTCTTTATAAAACCAAAAGAAATAGATACATTTAAAATCTTAAAAGCCTTCCAGATTCCTTACTCCTTGAGATCTAAACATTGGTCTGAGTGGCTATCAAAGGAGGAAAGTAAAACAAGTGGACTTGGCTTTGTTTAGTGGCATACAAGTTCATTTCAAACACATAAAAAGTGGACTGGAGCAGTATCAAGTATTAACTATGAATTTTTTCAAGTTTCTTGGCCTTGCAGGTACCAATCATGGCTTCTTGACTCCATCTCACTCCCATGTCCTTGGGGGAATTTACTTCCAGGTTCCAGCTACCTCTTGATCATAGAGGTGTGATGCCAACCCAGTTTAGTAGAGAGATAAAGAAGAACTTAAAGCCAAATACGTTATTTTGGACTAGAAGTGCTGTAGGCGTGAAAGCAGAGGCTAGTAGAACTGTCTGTCTGTTTACTGGAGAGCACGTCAGTGCTTTCTCAGCTTCCTCCCTGCTACATCTACAAGGTTGTCACTCGTCCTGTAAATAGGATCCCTGTGATTCTGCAGAGCAAGAGTTCAGTAGATAATACATTACAAAAACATGTTTGGAATGAAAATGGCATGACAATTTATTATTTGTAAACACAGATATTATCCCTGCCACCTCTACTTTCCACAAACAGTAAAGTGGGGCAAAAGTAAACCAAACCAAAAAGCCCCCAGTAAGTGGAACCCATAGAAATCTTTTTTATGTATAAGAAAGAGCTTTATATCACAGAGTAATTACATATTAAGAAAACCTCTAGCCCAGTCAAGATCAAATCTCTAAGTCTGATATTAGCCCATGTATCCAATATCAGACCATAAATTCCTCTTTAGACTCAGTACATGCAACGATGCAAAATGTAGGAAGACACAGGCCAGTGGGTGGAAAGTCTTGTGGATCCAGTGGTGGTGGAAGCATCTTGTACCACATAATTAGTTAAGTCTGATGAATGTTTATCAAACTGTACTACTGATTGTAGAGTACACCTTTTTTTTTTTTTTTTACAAATGCTCATATAATGTTCATAGTAAGTGCTCATTTGTTTTCTTGATGTGAGGGGAATAGTGCATTTGATGTTTGTTCCACCACGTCAGACTGTTAAATCAAGCTTTGCATTTAGAGGTTCTGAAAAGATTTTGTAACAGTGTATGCCCAAAAAGGCCCAATTTGTGGCAGACGGGGCTAAGGGGGGGAGGGGCTGGTTTTGCAACCATAACAGCACACCTGCTCACACAGCCATCTCAGTGTGCCAGTTTCAGGCAAAAAAACGACGTCCTTCTCTTGCCCCACTCACCCAACTCACCTCACCTTGCTCCATGTGACTTCTTTTTGTTTCCGCAAATGTAGAGGGACATGAAAGGACAGTGATTTGACGACATAGAAGAGGTGAAGAAAAAAGTGGGGGAGGTGCTGTCAGCTTAAAAAATGTTTCCAAGAATGGAATAGCAGATTTGCCAAATGTATTCAGTGTAATGTAGAATACTTTGAAGGTGATAAGGTGGTTTCCTTAAAAAAATTTTAAATACATAGATTTGGGGGAGGGGTTCCATTTGGAGGGGGCCACGTCCTTGTATGATGGACCAATAGTGAACTTCAGTAAATTCCCAAAATACAAATAATATAAATTTCCTTCTCTGAAGATAATGCAGTAATAATGAGTATTAATAACAAAATAAAATCAGAAAACCTAAATGCTCTTACACCCCGAAATTAACACCACCACTAAACAAAAACTATATGTAATCTTTGGAAAAAGAGGAAATGCTAACCCAAACTGTAGACTTTCTAGAAAATGATGAAAAACTCTGAATTTGAGAATCTATGGAAAAAAGGTAAAGTGCTCAAAGACAAATCATAGCTCTACTGTTTATTTCTGTGAAAAACAAAATAACGAGGCTCAATGAAGTACCCTATTTAAATGAATAGGATAAACAATAAGAACAATATATATAGATTAAAGGAAAGCAGAAGAAATTATTAATTGGAAGCAGAAATTAATGAGCTGGGCAAATGGAAAACAGTATAAGTAATGAAATAGTTGCTTCTTGGGTAAAAAAAAACAAAAACATTAGATCAAGGAACAGCAAAGTATAGCTCTCAGGCTAACTCCAGCCTCCTATCTGTTTGATATGGCTCAAGAACTAAGAATGGCTATTTACACTTCTTTAACAGGTCTAAAAAAATACAAAGAGGAGTATTTTGTAAGACACGAACTTTTTGTGAAATTCAAATTGTAGTGCCTGTAAGTAAAGTTTTATCTAATACAGCCACATCTATCTCTTAATATAAAGACTGCAGCCGCTTTCCTGCTGTGAGGGCAGAGTTGAGCACTTCAGAGACATTGCTGCCTGGCACACTTCACATCAGCAACGCAGGTGCCCTGGACAGCATTGCTAGTGCCACGCATACCCTCGCGGAGCAGCATTCTCTCCCCAGCGCATCCCATGGGCAGAGAGAGGTGGACTGTGAGCGCCAGGCTTTCCAGGCACCGTGGAGTATGAATTGTTTTGTGCATTATGTTTTTCATACAGCAACATTGGATGGCTCCAAAAGAACACAGAGCATTGTAGCATTACCAGACTAAGCGCACAGTCTTCCTAACTCCTAAAAAAGCAGTGGTCAAAAAATCAGAACACTTAAAAGTGATATTAAAATGAAGCTGCCACCAAGTAAGTTTCCAAGTGTCTCATTTGTCAACACAGAGAGGGAAGTCATTTGCAAATGGTAAGCTAATTAAGCACATTTGATTGAAGCAGCCAAAGTAACATACCCAGAGAAAATAAACTTCTTTGGGACTAAAAGCCTTTAGGCAAGAACTTTTGCCCAAACCTGAGGACACTGGGTGCCCCAGTAGTCAATTAAAATGTGGATGATTTCACATGGATCTCCTAGTCTCTGGATGAGTGGACAGACTGAACCTGTACTGCTTAGCCAGAATTCAGTGCCACGATTAAGTGACTGAAGAAGGAGCCTGCATGGGTCCTCTGCACATACAATTCTGACTCTTTTCAAAGTCATGGGAAACCCTAATCGGAAGAAAGCGGAAGTGGAATCTGCTAAAGTATATTTTCACTGGTGGCAGCAAATTACAGTATGTGGGAAGCAGAAGGGCTTATTTGGATAAGGTTTATGAAGATGGTAAGGTTTTAAAAACCTCTGGTTGTTCATTGTATTATACATCAGCAGGCACTTTGCAGAAAATACTTGAATCTATTATATGCTATCAAATAAATAGCATACTCACCCCCATCCCCCAACCGCTCAGAGGCATTAAGATGGGACTTACCCTGTAAACAATGACAGTCTTGGAAACTCACGGGGAGTTCTGCTCAGTCCTCCGGGGTCAGCATGAACTATGAGTCAGTACTGACTCCGCGGCAGTGAGTTCATGGTGAACAGTCGTTCTCATGGACATGGAGTCATGTCCAATGAATCTGCACTTGACACAGAAGAGAAGGTCTAACTTCTAGTTATTTACTGAAGCATTATTTGTAGTGTAAGGGGAAAAGGAAACAAAATGTTTACTAGAGGAATGGAAATAAATGACAGTACTCATTTGTCCCCACAGTGGAACACTGTGCAGCTGTTTAAAGAATTAGTACATCCTCTACATGTGCAAACCATAACAAATTGTGGATAACATTGCAAAGAATGGGAATACCAGAACATTTAACTATGCTTATGCAGAATCTACATAGATCAAGAGGCGGTCATTTAAACAGAACAAGGGACTTCTGCATGGTTTGAAATCAGGAAAGCAGTGTGTTAGGGTTGTATCCTTTCACCATTCGTATTCAAACTGTGTGCTGAGAAAATAATCCAAAAACCTGGCCTACAGGTGTCTTCTGGATTGGAGAAGACTCAACGCCTGCTTGCTTGCTGAAAGTGAAAAAGATGAACTACTACTCCTGATGAAGATCAAAGATTACAGCCTTCACTATGGATTACATCTCAAAGTAAAGCAACAAAATTCCTCCCAACAAGCAGCATCATGATAAATGAAGAAAAGATCGAAATGGTCAGGAATTTTGCTTTACTTAGAACCACAATCAACATCCATGGAAACCAGCAGTCAGGAAATGAAATGATGTATTGCTTTAGGTAAATCTGCCACAAAAGACCTCTTTAAAGTGTTAAAAAGCACTTTGAAGATTAAGATGCACTGGACTCAAGCCATATTTTCAGTGGGCTCATATGCATGTGAAAGCTGGACAAAGAATAAGAATGAAGACTAATTGACACATTTGAATCATGCTATTGGTGAAGACTCTTGAATATGCCATTAACTGTCAAACAAATGAACACTGTCTTAGAAATGTAGTCAGAATAAGCAAATGTGGGGAAGAAAGCTGATGGTGCCCGGCTATCAGGCTATCAAAAGATAGTATCTGGGGTTTTAAAGGCTTGAAGATAAACAAGTGGCCATCTAGCTGAGAAGCAACAAAACCCACATGGAAGCATACTGCCTGTGCCATCACAAGGTGTCAAAGGGATCAGGCATCAAAGAACAAAAAATCATATCATTGTCAATGAGGGGGAGTGCAGGGTGGGGGACCCAAAACCCATCTGTAGGCAACTGGACAACTGGAAGGGTTGTGGGGAGGAGACAAGTCACTCAGGGTGCAGTGTAGCAACAATGAAACATATAACTTTCCTCTAGTTCCTAAATGCTCCCCACCCCCACGCCAATATCATGATCCCAATTCTACCTTACAAATCTGGCTAGACCAGAGGATGTACACTGGTACAGATAGGAACTGGAAATACAGGGACGGATGATCCCTTCAGGACCAGTGGTGAGAGTGGCAATATTGAGAGGGTGGAGGGAGGGTGGGGTGGAAAGGAGGAACCGATTACAAGGATCTACATATAACCTCCTCCTTGGGGGACGGACAACAGAAAAGTGGGTGAAGGGAGGTGTTAGGCAGATAAAATATGACAAAATAATTTATAAATTATCCCGGGTTCATGAGGGAGGGGGAAATGGGGAGGGAGGGGAAAAATGAGCTGACACCAGGGACTTAAGTGGAGAGGAAATGTTTTTGAGAATGATGAGAGCAATGAATGTACAAATGTGCTTTACAAAATTGATGTATGTATGGAGTGTGGTAAGAGTTG